AGGCTACAGAGCAGGAGCATGTGGTAGAAAGGAGTTCAACTTGGGAGAGATTTCTGGGAGCAGCAGAGAGCCAATGGTCTGTCCCACCACTTGAGGATGGAGAACCAGTGAGCCTGGAGGAAATCCCAGCCCTAGGCCCAAAGGCATCTCTTTCTCCCAGCATCACAGGTGGGTCATTTCAGGTCAGAGCCCACCTAGCTTCATGAGGTCAGAAGCACATTTTCCCAGGCCTGTTCACTGAAGGCCTGACTCTGGATGAGCAATCTTTAAGGACTAATTTATATTCCAGAGACCACTGGACCTGTGTATAAGTGCAGGTGCACATGGTCTGAATGTTAACTAAAAATAATCATGATATGCTAAAGATAGCTGAGTGTGTACATGCCTACTCTGTCTCAGAGTAACTGAATTACATGCCTTATCTCATTTAATCCTCACACAACCCAGTGAATCAATGCTATCATCATCCTCATTTCATAGGTAAGAAAGCTGAGACTTATAAAATCAAGTCAGGTTAATCCTGGTCCCTCTGACTCCAGAGCCATTTTTTCCCCTAACACTGAGTACAAATCTTCCCCACAGGCTGGAGTCTCCTGAGGCTACATGGGAGCTGGTGTTTTTTGAGGATCTTTCACTTTCTCCCTTCCAAAGTTATTTATCTGACAAGTGTTAATTAAAATCCTCCTGCCTATGGAGCTGACATTTTGTGATAGCTCACGGGGTGACCTTCGATGTAGAAAAATAAAATAGGGCTAGGGAGATAAGAATCCAGGATATTCTGGGAAAGCCTCTCTGATAAGGTACCTCTTGAGTATCAACCCAAAGGAAGTGACAGAGTGACTCATGTAGATATTTGCCCAAGTAGTGAAATAGGTGAGGTGGGGGGCAGGAGAAAAGTTGCGCAGTATGGTCCATGCAGAAGGTTCAGCAAAAGTGCTCGCTTCGGCAGCACATATACTAGAAGGTTCAGCAAGAGCGAAGTTCTGAAGTGAAAGAATACTCAGGAATTATGTTTACACTATACTTGTTGTTGCTGTTTAGTCACAAAATTGTGTTAGACCCTTTGTGACCCGCATGGACTATAGTCCACCAGGCTCCTCTGTCCATGGGATTTTCTAGGCAAGAACACTAGAGTGGGTTTCCATTTCCTTCTCCAGGCGATCTTCCCAACCCAGGGATAGAACCCGCGTCTTCTGCATTGGCAGGCAGATTCTTTACTGCTGAGCCACCAGGGAAGCTACATTATACTTAAGGAAAGCCATGAAGTCAGTGAAACTGGGTTGAAGCAGAGCGAGTAGGGGCAAGAAAAGGAGATGAGGTCAAAGAAGTACTTGTGAAGAAGCTGGCTTTCTCACTGGGTCAGGTAGGACTGTTAAAGAGTTGTGAGCAAAGAAATTACATGGCCTGACTTCTGTTTCAAACCAATCACTTTATGGACTGTGAGAAGGACAGACTCTCCAAGGGCAAGGACAGAAGTGGGGAGGCTAGTTAGAAGACCATGGCAACCATCTGCCAGAGAGATCGTGTTGGCTTGGACCAGTGTGGTAGTGGTGGAGGTGATGAGATGTGGTCAGATTCTGATTGCGGATGGTTCCCCCTGAACATCAGTAATCTGTTTCCTGAAAGTTGGACATTCTGTCCGCAATCAATAACTTTGTATCGCTTTTCCCTCCGCGTCGAGTGGCCCGGGCAGCCAGAGGCTTGGCGCGCTCTCCCCAGATGTGGCGCGCCTTTTCCCTCCGCAGCGGGCGGCTCGGGCAGCCAGGGGCTTGGGCGCAATCTCCCCGGATATGCTTGTTAAATATCTTCCATCCACTGATAAACAGATGAACAAAAAGATTTCCATTTTGGAGGATCATGACTTTATAGAGAGTCTGACCTTTGGATGGGATGGACCGTCTTGGCGGTTGCTCACAGCTCTTAAATTGTTATGTCTGGAAGCTGAAGAATTGTTTCTCGCATGAAGGATGAAGAAGTGGCTTTGATGAACCAATTGACTTTGGTAGAAACACTGCGGACCAAAGAGTTGAAGATTCTCCAGGCCTCTGCCAAGGTCCTGATCACCTTGCAAACAGCTTTTACATAACACACTTCACCACGTGCATAAGGTCACCTCCTCTGGTGGGTGTGACTTCTTTAAACATTTTTTAACTCAGGTTTATTTTATATGGACTCACTGAGAGTCAACGAAGAGTTTCTATTAAACAGTTATCTGCTCAGTCCTTAAAAAAAAAAATAATAACTTTGTATCTGTTGCCCACTTATTTTTTTTGTCATTTAACTTTTTTTTTTTAATTGAAATACAGTCTATTCGTGATGGATAGGGAAGAAGGGAACCCTGATGATCTGAGGGGGAGGCGACAGCTGCTGAAGCCATATGCTTGGGTAGGTGAGATGGGCTGGAGTGGAGGCGTTAGCCCTCAGTGGAGCCAGGATAGCTCATCTTCAGCAAGAAAAAGGAAGGCAGAGTCTGGCAGGTAGGGTGAGGTGGCGGTGGGCATCTTGGAAGTTCTCTTTGTGACTTCAGTTTCCTCAGTGAACTAGAAGGAAGGTTCTCACTGACAGAGCTGAGAGTGAGCATGGGAGAAGATGATGGAAGCTTGAGAAGAGAGATGATGTGAAGGTATTGACTTGGGGAGTGGGCAAGTGAGTACACATAGAAATGCGGGTCATGTGCACTTAAAGCAATGCTTTTGGACCCTCTCCTTAGAAAAAGGCACATCCCAGTCTAGGTCTCCATCTACGGAGGCAGGTCCAAAAGCCCTGGCTTCCCCTCCGCCTGCATCTGGACAGACTCATCTGTCTGCAGTCATTTTCTTTACACAACAATGCAGACCCCACGCTGGCTTTTAAGTTAGCTTATGGAATAATGGTCTACAGCGTTCCTGGTATAGGCTGTGTCTTCTTGCTCAAGACCTGGACATGCTCTAGTTGCCTTTCCATCCACTGCCCCGGGCTCTGTGGTGTTGCGGTGGCTATTTTGGCCTGTTTTGGCTTGCTTCTCTTGGTCTCAGTTTCAAAGGAGACCTTTCTGGATGCCTCCCCAGGTTTCTGTTGAGGCCATGCAGCTTCTTAATTACTCTGGCCTTTTGTCAAACAAGGTGGCCAACAATTCTGGGCTCTGACCCTCGCTGGGAACCATCACTCTTGATTGTCCTGGTGGACAGGCTTGGGTGGGCCTAGAAAATCCCCAAAAGTAGATGTTCTCCCAAATAAACTTCCTTTGATGGTTACTCAGAGCACACTCTGTATGGGGTGATGCTGTTGGCCAGCGGTCCCCCCTCTTAGTCCGTGGTGCTCCAGGAGCAGCATGGGAGTGGCCATCAGGCCAGCCTCTGGCCCCTGCCTCCCTGTCCGTCTGTTCTGCACATTGAATTTCTGTAAAAGATTAATTTGAAGAAAGGATCCCGTGGCTTACCACAAAGATGACAAAAAGAAGAGCTTGAAAATCAGTTCTTTGGGTCAAGAGGTTGGTCAGAGAGAGAGGTCTGAGACACAGATAAGCTGGAGATACACCAATGCTAGTGATGGTGATGCTGCGTCCCTGAGATCACTCTTTTCATGAAAGTTTTTGAGCACCTACTTCATGCCAGGCTCAAGGTGGGGTCATTTGCCCAAGGTGACAGAGCTAGTAAAGGGAAAAGTCTCAGTTATTCCCTGTGGATTCTGCCCCAGGAGAGGCAGAGGCAGTGTGCTCACACTGACACCAACCCTGCCCAGGCCCCGGGCCTGCCTGCAGTGCCTACCTCGTGAGTCCCTGGCTGATCTCTGCTGCCCTTCTAGCCCAGCCAGCCAGATCTGTCTCCCCTAAAGGGTCAATGCCTCAGATGGAACCTGCCTCCTGTAGATGGTGTTGCCTGCCAAATGAAGACCCTTCAGCCTGTCATTGAGGGCCATGGAGGCTGAGCCTCAGTGAGCCCACCCAACTTCGTTAACCCTGACATCCACTCTCAGCCACATCCCCCTCACCCTGAGGCTGCAGGAGGACTGAGAGACCAGGCTGCGTCTGTCCTCAGTGTCCATCAAATGGGCACTGAGAACTCACATGTCCGTAGTTGGTTTTGACTGGAAAGGGGAGCCCTGGTGCCAGATTCAATAGATACAAAACGCAAGTGGAAAAACAAGGCTCAGGCCTGAAGACAAGCTGGCTTGCTCTGACTCACTTCTTTCTTAGCGCTTAAATATCAAAAGAAACTGATCGGTTTTGAATAGAGAAGTATTCATGGTACGATGTATAAGGGAAAATATCAGGATACAGAATGGTTTCAGTTCCCAGCTCCAGCACTTCTTTCCTGTCGCGACATTGAGTGAGGTGCTTACACGCTCTCAGCCTCAGTTCCTTCATCTGTAAAGCTAGCCTGACAAGAGTGCCTGCTCAGAGAGGAGTGATAAGGATTAGATGAAAGTCCACATAAACTTAGCATGCTACTGTGGCATTCAGGGGGGTTAGCTGCTATTATCAGTTTGTAGATAAATAAATAAACAACTAACATTTTATATTCATTGTTTTAAAAAAGAGTAGAGGGAATTCCCAATGTTTAGTCCAATGGTTAGGACTCTGTGCTTCCAATGCAGGGGGCATGGGTTCGATCCCTGGTCAGGGATCTAGATCTCACATGGCACAGGGCATGGACAAATAAATAAATATTTTTTTAATAAAAAAATTTTTTTAAAAGACTAGAAAGAAATATACTAAAATGTGAACAGTGAGAGATCCTGAATGGTGGGGCAGTAGTGACATTCCTTTTTTTTTTTTTCCTATTTTCCAAGTTTTCTACAGTGAATAGATACCATGTGTTCTTCCTTCCATAATCATAAAAAGAAGAGCACACTTTTTTCGAAGGGCATATTCAGAACTCATTCCTAGAGGTCTGAGTTACCTGGGTCCTGGTGAGGGGTCCTTTTTTGTACCCAACCACAGTTAATTGTGTCAGTGACCCCTGCCACGAGCACCTTCCCCTCAATGGTGCCTTTGTTTGCTCCACAGAAGAGCCCGAAGAATGGCCGCTGACATGCAGAGGAAGAGAAGCAGCGAAGGCCCCGATGGCACGTTGGCGCCTTCCGATGGACAGAATGTGGAGAGAGCAGAGAGCCCCACACCAGGACTGGCCCAGGGGATGGAGCCAGGTACAGGCAGGGTCCTCGGGCAGCCCCAGCCAGCTCACAGCCAGAGCAGCCTCCTGGGCAGTCTCGATTCCCAGCCACTCTTTTGCTCCTGCTCATTCATGCATGTGTTCACTCCCTCACTGGCTATTTGTCATGAGCTGGGGATACTGGAGAGATCCAGGCCCAGTCCGCCTCTGGCCTTCCTCTCCACTTCATGTTGTGCCATTCATCCTGTGCAGTCTGACTGCCCATGTGGGCTTTCCTCCTCTTTCCTGGGTCTGCAGGTCCCTCCCTTGCTCCCTCCGCCTCACTCTGCTCTCACCTTAAGTGTCATCTCCTCACAAGAGAGGCCTGCTCTGACCACACTGTGCACATACTCGTTTTAGCGGGATTGTATTTACGTGTCTAGGTGTTGCCCATCTCTCTCATCCACAAGATTGGGAGCTCTTTGAGCACAGAGCTGTGGGTACCTGTGTGGTACCCTGATGCCTGGTACAGTGCTGAACTCATAATAGAGACTCAAAACTTAACTCTTGAACTCTTCTGTACCAGAAAAAAAAAAACCCTCAGTAAAGGAAGATCAATCTGGTCTCTGCCTTGGAGGAGCTGCAGGCTAGTGAGAGCATTCCACTGGAGGGGGTTCAGAGCCATGGGTCCCTGCATGGGCTTGGGGAGGCATCTCCCAAGGAGAGAGATTCACTGAGCACGGGGGGTATTCCACGCACAGGGTGAGGTACTGGGCACAGTGATGAACAACCAGGTTCCTGCCCTTGAGGGGGAACTCCACTGCAGTTGTGGAGAAGGGCAATAGCTGATAGGTGCCCCATGAGAAGTCAAGGAGGTGATATGATATGATATGATACAGTGCTTGGGGCTAGGGGTCAGGTGACAACTAACATCTTTGCTGAGAGCTGAAGTGTGATGGGAGAGCTGGCCTGGGAGGAGGTGGGAGAGGCTTCCTGGCAGAGGGAACAGGAGATGCAAAGGCCCTGAGGTAGGTGAGGGTATCAAAGAGCAGAGGGCGAGGGACTGTGAGATGAGAGACAGACAGGCAGATACCAACCACCACCTCAGCCTGGAGGGGTTGGGTCTTACTCCCAGTGTGATGGGAGGAGACCGATGAGCTGTAAGTCACATGACTTGTAGCCGACTACAGCTGGAGGGAGCAGTGGCTTGCCTCATCACGACAGGCAGTCAAGCTAGAGTACTGTATGGGGCGCTGTGCTGGTAAGTCTGTGGGCCAGCAGGTACCACTCTAAGCTCCAGTGCTTTTGGCTGGCAGGTGCCGGACAGGAGGGTGCCATGTTCGTCCATGCCCGTTCCTACGAGGACCTGACTGAATCAGAGGATGGGGCAGCTTCTGGGGAGAGCCCCAAGGAGGGTGCCAGGGGTCCCCCACCTCTGGCTACAGACATGCGTCAGATCAGCCAGGACTTCAGTGAGTTGAGCACCCAGCTGACGGGTGTCGCCAGAGACCTGCAGGAGGAGATGCTTCCAGGAAGCTCTGAGGACTGGCCAGAGTCCCCAGGGGTGGCCAGGCGACCAGCCACAGAGCCCCCAAGGGACGGCGCTGGCGAAGGGGATGAGGAAGAGGCTGCCGAGGCCTGGCGACGGCACCAGAAGCATGTCTTTGTGCTGAGCGAGGCGGGGAAGCCTGTGTACTCCCGCTACGGGTCCGAGGAGGCACTTTCCAGCACCATGGGTGTCATGGTGGCCCTGGTGTCCTTCCTAGAGGCTGACAAGAATGCCATCCGTTCCATCCATGCAGGTGAGCCCCCTGGAGGGGTGCTGGGAGGTCTCCCTGGCCACACAGTTCATTCACAGTAGGTTTTGGACCCCCAGGGACTAGAGGGCTGGGATATGCTGTGTGACCAAGTCCCTCCACCTCAGTGAGCCCCAGGTCCTCATCTGGGAACACAGGGAAACAACTATGACTGCCTCATAGAGCTGTTGTGAGGTTCAAAGGTGGCTTGCACATGGACTTTGCCCTTAGAGCAAGAATCCTGGGGAGGTGACCAAAAAATCGCAGGTCTTGAGTCCACCCAGCTCTTGCCACTTAACTTAGCCCAAGAATGTGTGGGTTTTGTTTGTTTCTTTGAGGGGTTTCTTTTAATTAAAAAAAAATTATTTTTCTTTAAATTTTTATGCCCTTTTTTTCCTATTTTTATTTTAATTTATTAAAAATTACTTTCTTTTTTTGGCACACTGTAGCATATGGGATCTTAGTTCCCCAACCAGGGATGGAACCCAAGTCCTCTGCAGTGGAAGGGCAGAATCTTAACCACTGGACTACCAGGGAAGTCCCAAGAATGTGTAAACACACTGTCCTGAAGTGCTTCCTGCGTTTTAGTTGGTCCCAGTCTATGAAGCTGACTCCCTGGTAGCTCAGTCAGTAAAGAATCTGCCTACAGTGCGGGAGACCTGGGTTGGATTCCTGAGTTAGGAAGATCCCCTGGAGAAGGAAATGGCAAACCACTCCATTATTCTTGCCTGAAAAATCCTATGGACAGAAGAACCTGGCTGGCTACAGTCCGTGGGGTCGCAAGAGTCAGACACGACTGAAGCGACTCAGTACACACACACACACGCGCGCGCGCGCACACACACACGCACGCACGCACGCGCGCAGAGGAAAGTGACAAGCTCCAGCCAAGAAACCGGGGCTCTGAGGGTACTGGGCCAGGCCAATCCAGGAGGGCTTTCCCGAGAAAGGGGCTGAAGCTGATGCCACCCCCATCCATCCACCCCATCAGATGGCTACAAGGTAGTGTTCGTGCGCCGGAGCCCGCTGGTGCTGGTGGCGGTGGCCCGCACGCGGCAGTCGGCGCAAGAACTGGCTCAGGAGTTGCTCTACATCTACTACCAGATCCTAAGCCTGCTGACGGGCGCGCAGCTGAGCCACATCTTCCAGCAGAAGCAGAACTATGACCTGCGGCGCCTGCTCTCGGGCTCGGAGCGCATCACGGACAACCTGCTGCAGCTCATGGCGCGAGACCCCAGTTTCCTGATGGGGGCGGCGCGCTGCCTGCCCCTGGCGGCGGCGGTGCGCGACGTGGTGAGTGCCAGCCTGCAGCAGGCGCGCGCCCGCAGCCTGGTCTTCTCCATCCTGCTGGCGCGCAACCAGCTCGTGGCCCTCGTGCGCCGCAAGGACCAATTCTTGCATCCCATCGACCTGCACCTGCTCTTCAACCTCATAAGTTCCTCCTCGTCCTTCCGCGAGGGCGAGGCCTGGACGCCAGTGTGCCTGCCCAAATTCAATGCAGCCGGCTTCTTCCACGCACACATCTCTTACCTAGAACCTGACACGGATCTCTGCCTGCTGCTCGTCTCCACCGACCGCGAGGACTTCTTTGCCGTCTCTGACTGCCGCCGCCGCTTTCAGGAGCGCCTGCGGAAGCGCGGGGCGCATCTGGCGCTCAGGGAGGCAGTGCGCACGCCCCACTACAGCGTTGCCCAGGTGGGCGTCCCTGACCTGCGCCACTTCCTCTATAAGTCAAAGAGCTCAGGACTCTTCACCAGGTGAGGGAAGGCCTCGGGGGCGCTGCTGGAGGGAGGCAGGGGCGTGGGGAGCGGGCGCCGGTTGGGCCTGAGCCCTGATGCAGTCCTGAAGCTGACGACCCCTCTGGGAATGAGCCGACTTGCTGTGTCTGTCTGACTCTGACCCTAGGGAACCCCACCCCCTATCACCCTACTCCCCATCAGCCTAGGCCTCTGTACTTCATTCATTTCCCAGAAGGCCTTGAAATACCCAACTCACCCGGGGAAGGAAGCTTGCACCGAGGTCTTCTGGGTTGCTGGCCCTGGAGCTACTCTGCTTTAGGGGTCAGTTTGGTCCAGCCCGGCAGGCAGGACTCCTCCACTTCCTCCAACAAAAAGGCTGGGGCCCAGTGAGTCCTCTTCTATCCTCCTGTTACCCCCTTTTGGGTCCAGAGGGTTCCCAACTCAGTTTCCTCCTGTCCTGTCACTCTCTCTAGGACACATAAACTCGGATTGGCTTCTCCACAGGGAGGTTCCCGAAAGCTGCCATGAACTTGGGGGTGGGGAGAAGAGGGCTCCAGTCTGGGTGGGCCCAGGGTGGGCCCACCCCACCCCACCCCACCCCACCCCACCCCTGTCCTGGGCAGTCTTCAGCAGGGAGGAGACAGTGGCTTGGCCGTGGGTGGGATGGTATCTGGAGGGTAGGACACATGGTGGAGTCTCCCTGGCTAGGAATAGGCATTTCTGGATTTCCAGAGAAGCCAGTGGGAGTCACTCCTTTGCGAACCCACTCCCCCATCTCCAGCCCTGAGATTGAGGCCCCGTACGACAGTGAAGAGGAGCAGGAGCGGCTGCTGGGCCTCTACCAGTACCTGCACAGCCGAGCCCACAATGCCTCCCGCCCCCTGAAGACGATCTACTACACCGGCCCCAACGAGAACCTCCTGGCCTGGGTAAGGTGGCCGTGGGGTGGGCTAGGCTGACCCAGGGCTAGGGTCCTGGGCGAGGTCCTTAGGCAACCTGGATGACCACCCTGTGCCCCCTCCTCCAGGTGACGGGCGCCTTTGAGCTCTACATGTGCTACAGCCCCCTGGGGACCAAGGCGTCGGCCGTCAGTGCCATCCATAAACTGATGCGCTGGATCCGCAAAGAGGAAGACCGCCTCTTCATCCTCACGCCCCTCACGTACTGATGAGAATGTGTGTGGGCGTAGCCCTCCGAGGCATACCAGGCTGTGGAAGCTGTGAGAGCCTCCAGGTGGCACTGGCCTCTCTGCTCCCCCTGCCCCCGCTGCAGCAGGCAGCAACTGTGGGGTGGTGTGTGCATTAAAGTGCTCTGGGGAAGACACTGAGGGGCCTTGTCACTGGTTCCTTCATTTACCCTTTCTCACTCAGATACAAACCCTGGATCCTCCTCCTTAAGCCCTGCCCGTGCTTCCCCGTATACAGGGGCACATGCACATTTTTAATAGAATTCTCTTATGATTTTATTTGATTTGATTATTTTTTAAAAAATTTTTATTGGAATATAGTTGCTTTAGCACATGCACATCTGAGCCTCTCTTTCCCCTCCCTTGCAGAGCATCACATGCGCTCAGAGTCTGCCCCTGGCTGGGCTGTTTTCATTCAGCTGGAGTCCTGCCACATGTAAAGAGCTCTCTGGGACCCCGATGGCTTTCCCTCCCAACCCCCTGCGAAGCCCCACCCCACCCCCAGTCTGAGCCCCTGGTGCCTCTCCTGTCACTCCTTGGTGGGATCCCCAGTTGTGTGCCCTGAAAGACTACCCAACCACCTGGGAGCCCTGGCCAATGTTCTGCTTAAGGGACTGCTGTTGTTCAGCAGGGGCTGCACCAAGTGAGATGGGGACAGCCAAGGGGGGAAGATCAGCCCTGGCATGGCTGGGAGCCCTTGGGGAGGTGACCTAGTGTTAAGCACAAGCAAAGTCAGAGTCCAGCCTCGCTGCAGCTGTAGGCCTCTGGAAAAACTGTCCCAGCTTAGGCTTCCTCATGAAGGCTGTCCACCTCAGCTCCCCTACCTCTAGCCAGCACATTCCTCAGGATGGCCTCAAGAGTAAGCTAGAGAACCTGAAAGAAGACCCAGCTGACCTCTGTGGTAGGAGTGGATCCTGCCCTAAGAAGAACAGCCGATGCCCTCTTCAGTCACCCTGATGCCTGGCACGGCCCAGCCTGCATGGGTCACCATGAACATCTCAGGAGGCTCAGAAGTGAAGGCCCAGCCCCATTCACTCAACCATGAGAACTTTTCTGGACAGAGCCCAAGGCACAGTGCAGAAAGCCTCTACCTTCCTGCTGGAGGCTCTCCCAGTTATGCCACAGCTTAACCATCTCATTGGCCAGGGGAGCAGAAGACCTCAGAAATACTTATGGGAGAATAGTGTCCATGGACTACGGTCTTCAGACTATAGAGTGAATCACCCTCATGCAGTCTGAGTGCCAGACCAATACACTCTGCCACTAAAACCAACCCATGCTAGAGAATGTGTCTGTGTGGGTGGCATGGGCCAAGGATGCACTGGAATGATTCACTTACTGTCCCAGAAAATGGCAGCACAGCCCTTCCCCTTGGCCCCACCCCTTGGCCTCACCTCAGATCATACTAGAATGGATTAGGCTACCTGCCCAGACCTCAAAGCACCTATGGAGCAGCCAGACGCTTGGTGGCTGCCACTCATACTGCACATGCCCTGCATCTCTTTTTTTGCCTGCTTCCTGTTTTTATTACTTCCCTGAATTTTGGCCAGGGCACCAAACCTGTCTCTGGGGCCAGGGTGATGCCAGGCTACCTGTCTCTGACAGCCACTGGTGTTCTTTTGGGTCAGCGGTCAGCCCCCCCAGTGTCCCTGCTGGCTGCCCTGGTCTCTGTAGGGCTCCCAGCTTCTTGCAGTTCAGCACCTATTTGGATAGGGGTGGGAAGAGAGAGTCACAATTAGATAAGTGCATATACCTAGGACAGTAGGCACCTAGGAGCGTGGGGTTTACCTGTTTGGGTAGCAAGGAAGGGACAACAGGCAAATAGGAAAGGTGTTCCTAGTGGAAGAACCTAGTGGAAGAACGTGCAAAGGGATAAAACTGGTATGAAACCTGATATGGTAAAGAAACTGGTATGACAGGTTCATTGGGTTACAGTGAAACTGGAGGAGTCTTTAAAGCCCAGGGTTCTCAAACTCCAGGGAAAATTCAGGCAATGGGGAGCCATTGAATATTTTAAAGCTGCAGAGTGATCTGGATATGTTGTGGTTAGAGAGATCTCCCTGCCGCCACCAGGATGATCTTTGGGTTGAAGAAGGATGCTGGCGCTAGTTCTCTGTGGTAGCGTTCACAAGGAAGTGAGAGCCCAGAGGGCAAAGTGGCTAGCACTCTTCAAGGGCAGTGGGGTAGGTACTTAAGCTGAACCTTGGCCGGGCTTTGTGAATTCACCTTGAGAAAGCACTTGTTCTCAGCACTGCAAGGCCCCATTAGCTGACTTCCCCAACATGGCTTGCCTGCTCCCCTCCTGCAGACCAAGCAGATGAGGAGAGAGGAAAGGGCGCTCTATCCAAAACCAGGGCTGCTGTCGAAAATCTAGGCTACCTAAGAGGAGATGCCAGCCTGGAGGCAGTCAACAGCTTGGCCACATGATGGCAGCAGAGAACCAGCTGTTGAGTACTGCGAACCCACTCCCCCCCTCCCAAACAGGTGACCAGGAAAGGCCCTTGAAATTTATTCCCAATCCCTAGAAGTCTTTCCCAATATCCTGAGACAGGATGGAGGTCCTAAGAACCCATGCTTCGGTGCCAGGCAGGGAACGTTTTATTTCAGTTTTGTCCCGTTTGACTACCTTCTAGACATGTTGACTGTGGAACATAGGAATGGTGCCATAATTTCTGAAGGTGTCTATTCATTTCCGGACAATTCAGGTTAGAGAAGGGAGTGCCTTTTATGTTGCCTAAGGCGCAGTATCTTTCCAGCACTGGGTGTGGCCACCCTGTGCTCTTCCCCACCTCCCACCAGTTGCTCCAGGAGCTCCAGCCTGGAGGGGTAGGGGAGTCCTGAATTAGGAATCGGTGAAGGGGGGTGTAAGTTATTCAGAGTGAACTGTGCTGGGGTAGGTGTAGCACAGGGTGTATGGGACCCACAAAATGGACTTGGCACCACCCAGATCAGGTAGGCTTCCTGGAGGAGATGCCATGTATGTTGCAAGAGAAGGAAGGGGAAAAGGTGTTCCTGGAAGGAGGAACTAGGAGTATAGGCTGGAGATGAGTGGAGGAGGTTCTCGTAGGGTCAGTCTGAATCTTGTTGGGCTGTCTCCTCTCCTCACCCACACTCCTTACCCTACAAATCTCTGGGACTCACAGTTCACAGGTCACTCAGAACTCAACCTACGGTCACTCTGTGAAGCTCTCCCTCTCTCCAGGGTCCAGGCCCACATGGCTGAGGGGGCTATCAGGCTAAAGATGTCCCCCAGGACACTCTGGTGTTGGGGGTGTAGTTCCCAAAGAGCAGATGCTGAGAGATGGCAAGGGCAGACCTGGGTTGACTCCCCTACTCCCACCCTACACAAATCACAGCCTAGAGAGAGAACTCTGGGAAACCACCTCATTTCGGAGACTGAAAGCCTGAGGCCCAGCAAGGCTAACAGAACAGGTTAGAGGTGCCCTGAAAGCCAAAGCCCATGTTTCCCGCATTTCAGGGAGGTGCTGGAACAGAACCAGGAAGGAAGGCCAGCACTTTGTGTTCTGTTGTCCCCATCCCTACAGCTGCCACCTACTGAGGCAGTAGTAGACAGACCAGAGCTAGGACTGGGCCTCCATGTAAGTTGTTTCTCCTCTGACTCTGAGATCCAGCCAACAGTGTGGGCCCCATCTTATAACTCCCACTGCCCTAGGCAGGCCAGATGCAAGGCAGTAGCCTTTGACCACCATCCTGTCGCAGTCAGCCCAGAGCAGGTCCACAGAGGGATAGTCCCAGAAGGGAATGGCAACCCACTCCAGTATACTTGCCTGGAGAATCCCACAGACGGAGAAGCCTGGCACGCTACAGTCATAAAGAGTCGGACACGACTCAATAACACTTTCACAGAGGGTAGTGCCACTCCTGGGGTCTCCTCACACCTCCACTGTGGTTCTCCACACCTTCCTGGCTTCTGGTCCCCACAGGAGGGTCCCCTGGGCCCTGATCAGGAACGAGTATCTGAGGATGTTGCTGTATCCTGGAGCCGAGAGAAGAAGGATACCAAATGGTCCTCAAACCCGCTGGGGCAATCCCTCCCACTTCCGCCCAGTGGATCGTCGCGGGGCGGGACAGGACAGCTCAGATGTTAAACGTCTCTCCGGGCCATTCTACACCCACTCACCCACAGGCCACTGAGGAAAAGGGGCCCAAGCGTAGGTGTAGGACCCAGGCTTCCGAGGGCGGGGAGAGTCGGCTAGGCAGAGGGGCTGGGCTAGGCCAGCCAGCCAGCCAGCAGGCCCCGCCCACAGCCCCGCCCCCACGCCCTGGTCCCGTCCGCCGCGCCCGGGTAGCTCCAACAGACTTTGCTCTCTAATCTCCGGCTGGGAGCTGCAACAAGAGCAACAGGTGAGGCGGCCTCTCTGTCTGCGTGTGTCCGCCCGCGCCAGGCGCTCGGACCCTGTGGGCAGGAGAGGGCGGTGGGCATCTCAGGAGTCCTGGTGGGGTCAGCTGCCCCGGGGCTCCCAGGATCGATACCCTCGACGCGGGTCCCAACCCAGACTTGAGTCTGCTCCCAGCCAGGCCCGGGTCTGCGGGAACCTCCACCGGGCCCTACCTGGGCCTCGATGGAGCTCCACCCGCCGCTGTTGCAACCTTTCCTCTTACTGCTGCTGCTGCTGCCGGCGGTGCCCGAGACTGGCGGGTCCTGGCAGTGCCGACGCATCCCGTATGCTGCTTCCCGCGACTTTGCTGTGGAGTATTCGGTGCCCAGCTTCTCCGCCGGCGGTCCGGTACAAGCCGTTGCAACCTACGAGGGCGGCACGGAAGGGAATGCGGTGTTCGTGGCCACACGCAATCGCCTGCATGTGCTTGGACCTGATCTAAAGCCAGTTGAGAGCCTGGCTACCGGCCCTGCTGGGGCCCCTGGCTGCCAGACGTGTGCAGCCTGTGGCCCAGGCCCCCACGGCCCGCCGGGAGACACAGATGCGCAGGTTCTGGTGTTGGAACCGGCGCTTCCCGCACTGATCAGCTGTGGCTCCAGCCTTCGTGGCCGCTGCTTCTTGCATGAGCTAGAGCCAGGCGGGACAACCCTGCACCTGGCGCCACCGGTCTGTCTTTTCTCAGAGCACAATAGGCCAGAGGACTGTCCTGACTGTGTGGCCAGCCCTCTGGGCACCCTCGTGACCGTGGTTGAGCAGGGCCAGGCGTCCTATTTGTACGTAGCATCCTCACTGGATTCGACGGTGGCCGGCAGCTTCAGCCCACACTCGGTGTCCATCCGGCGGCTCAAGGCCGACGTTTCGGGATTCGCAGCAGGCTTCGCAGCGCTCTCGGTGCTGCCTGAGTACCTCGATTCCTACCGCATCGAATACGTGTACAGTTTCCACGCCGGAGCCTTCGTCTATTTCCTGACCGTACAGCCCACCGACGTGGCAGCTGCTCCTGGCGCCTTGCACACGCGCCTGGCACGGCTCAGCGCTGTCGAGACCGACCTGGGCGACTACCGAGAGCTGGTCCTTGACTGCCATTTCGCCCCTAAACGCCGGCGACGCATGGCCCATGAGGGCGGGCAGCCCTACCCGGTGCTGCGGGCAGCCCACACTGCTCCAGTGGGCGGCCATCTGGCCGCTGAGCTGAGCATCCCTGAGGGCCAGGAAGTGCTCTTCGGGGTCTTCTCAGCTAGCAGAGACAGCAGCCCAGGTGCAGATCCCAACTCTGTGGTCTGTGCGTTCCCCGTCCACCTGCTGGACACTCTCATCGAGCAGGGCGTAGAGCGCTGTTGTGAGCCTCCGGTCCCTCCCGGCCTCCGGCGAGGGCTGGACTTCTTCCAGTTGCCCAGTTTTTGCCCGGATACGGTAAGCAGAAGGAAGCAGCTCTCACTTGTGAGCAGTGCGTGTTCACTTCCCATCCACCGCTGAGAAAGTCTGGGAGGGGGAAGGCAGGCAGGGGGAAGCTTTCTCTTCCACCCAGTTTCTTAGGGGGAGTCAGTCAAACGCCATACTGAAATCTCATCTCCTGGGTAGGCTAGATGCTGTTGCTAAACCCTTTTCCTGTTTCACCCTCTCGCTTACTATGGCCTCTTGCTTTTTTGGGTAATTTCCCTGGTTATGGGAAAATTGGATTGCATCATAACTGTCTCTCTGCCAGGCACACTTCCAAACTCTGGGTACAATGGTGGTTGTCCCTTTCTACCTGTCCCCAGTTTATACACTTAGGGACACACACAAAAAGCAGCCCCTCACCCCTGATCCACAGGCAGATACTCACAAATTCACATCTACTCACCAACAGTTTCGCTTTCCCTGTGGGAATGCTTGTTTTGCTCTGCTTTCCCAAGAGGGTGGGGCAGGCATTGTCAGAGAATGCCCCCCTCCACCCCTGTTCCATAGATCCTTCTGGGCCTTGGAAGTTGGGGGCTTGTCAGGGAGCCTGCCTGCCCTAGGCTTTATGGACCCACTCAACACTGATTGCTCTCCGTGGGGTGACTGGGGGAGGAATCAGGACATAGTGGGAAGGCGGCCTGGCTCTAGTGGATTCCAGGAGACTCACCCTGGTCTTGTGCAAGCAACTATAAACATCTGCTTATGAGTAAAGGCCTAGGAGGGGCTGGCTGGATTGGATCACCATGCAAGAGTCCCAGGCTTTTTTTCACTATAGTTGGGGCCCTTCTCATCTCAGGAAGGAGGTCTCCCAGCCTAGGCTGAACTAGGTGCTTCTCCTGGCAGACCCTGCGCAAGTTCCCTTCAGCCATGGTGTTAGGGAGCTGGAACAGAGACAGAGGATGGTCCTTAAAGTGCTTTTGCCCTGAGGACAAACCTAAAACTGACTTCTTGAGGCCACTGAAACAGTCCCACCCTACTTACAAGAGATTAAACCAAGGAAAATGGATGAATGAATGAAGGAATGGCCTTGGACAAGTGGCCTTTCAGGGAACTAACCCATAGTCACTGGTCTCAGAGTCGTTCTCTACTCTGTGGCTCTGGCCTTGCTGTGACATTCTTCGCTGTCTCCTTTTGCTCTGATTGATGCCCCAGTGGTGGGAGGAGACTTCACACACAACAAAGGGTGGGATCTTCAGCCTCCTCCTCCAGCTGACTCCATCTGGGTTGAGAAGGCCCTAGGGGTGGGAATCCCTAGTCTGCACTTAGGGAACACTCACTGCCCTCATCTCCTCCTCTCTGGGGAATCAGGACCTCTCTCTGACTTGGCTAGGGGTCAGGAGATCAGAAGACATCCAGCACCACTTGGCAGTACAAGACTCGAAAGGGCTAATCTCCAGCCCTGCCCACAGTCTGGCCAGGCCCCCAGGCGGTGTGTGAACCAGCCTGTCCCATGTTTGTCCAGTGACTGGGCACATAGCCTCTAGGAGGAAAGGCACTCTGTGTTCCTTATGGCTGCCCTCACGAAGCCTGAGGGCCTCAGAGCTGGTCCCTGCCCTGCATGGGTTTAGGTGGAGTTTGAGTCTGGTGGAGTCACCCTCCTCTATGGGATATTGGACACTTCAGTGTTTTCAGGAGGCCAGGGCCCCCAGACAAGCCTAGGTATCCAGAGCTAAGTCCCTGGAGCCCAGGGGCACACAGACAGGGTAGGGCCTCTGACTAGGGTAGGACCTCTTTTCCAAGCACACAGCCCCACCTGTCCCTGAGTCATACAGAAAACATCTGGCTGGCTTCCTGCTAGGATCAGGACTTTTACTCACCTCCAGTCGGGACAGACTCCTAGTCCCCACCCACCCATGCTATAGATCCAGTGCGTGGAGTTTCAGGGCCCAGCTATATGCTGAGCTCTTGCTCTAAGACTTACAATCAGTACTGGGGTCTCAGGACTGGGTTAAGTACACATTGTCAGACAGGGGCCTCCTGTCAGGAGGAGGACCCTTAGGCCTGGCAAGGGAGGATCCCAAGCTACGAGGGCTATAGGGCCTTGCCTGCACCTTGTATCCAGCTCCAATACCCTTGCATCCATACCCTCACTTCTGCTTTCCCAGAAGCTTCCACAACCCTGACCTGGGGCACTGGGTGTCCCCCAAACACCTTCCTGCTAAAAGCAGGGGAGAAATTAGTGTCTCCTGGCACCCAGGCCTTCAGGCCCTGGTTTATCCCTCCTATACCTCGAAGGAGATACAGGTAGCGGCTGGAGGTGCCGGAAGATCTTTGGCGTCTCAGGGAGAAGGAACATGGTACCAAGCCCTTGCCGCCCAATTAATCTCAGAGTTCAGCTCCTTAAGCAGGTGGACATATTGAAGCCTCAAGAGGTGACAGGGTTTGTTGAAATATGGGGCAGGACCAGCAGGGGGCGGGAGAGGACTCTGGTCAGGAACTCAGGACTGTCAACCCAGCTCCTCTCATGGGAGGTGACAAGGGGTGGGAGTTTAGGCCACTGTGGTCCCTGACAGAGGCCCAGAGGGTTCAGTGCATGGAGATGAGCCCTGACTCCTTTGACCTTCCCCAGCCTGGTCTGGGGGCCTCCAGCCCCAACATCAGCTGCCGCCACTTCCCTCTGCTCGTCAGCAGCAGCCTCTTACGGGTGGACCTATTCAATGGGCTGTTGGGACCAATGGAGGTCACAGCACTGTACGTGACGCGCCTCGACAACGTCACAGTGGCCCACATGGGCACAGCCAACGGGCGCATCCTGCAGGTGGGTCCCTCGTCTCCGCGGCCTCTCGTCCCCGGATCCCTGTCGCTGTTTTGCTCATGGCCAACCTGTCCCAGGTGGAGCTGGCCAGGTCTCTCAACTACTTGCTGTACGTGTCCAACTTCTCACTGGGCAGCAATGGGCAGTCCGTGCATCGGGGTGTCAGACGCCTTGGGGACCACCTGCTCTTTGCCTCTGGGGACCAGGTAAGGTGGGCAGGGTGGGGCCTGGGGCTGGGCTGTTGGGAGCACAGGCTCCCGCTCCAATCCAGGGATGCACTGACACACAGGTCTCACCACCCTGACAGTAGGACCAGGGGTTCTAGGGGGCTTACCCTCCCCCTTCAGCCACCCCTGAGATACCTGTCTGTCCAAGGTCTTCCAGGTACCGATCCGGGGCCCTGGCTGCCGCCACTTCCTCACCTGTGGGCGCTGCCTGCGGGCACAGCGTTTCATGGGCTGTGGATGGTGTGGGGGCATATGTGGCCGGCAGAAAGAGTGTCCTGGCTCCTGGCAACAGGACTATTGCCCACCCGAGCTTACTGAGGTATGGCTTGCCTAGCAGGGCACAGTTAAGGGATGGGACCTGCTGGGCCTGGGGTGGGAGTCAGCAAGTCCTAACCATGATCCTCCTCAGGTCTGGGATGCCCCAAGTAGCTATAAGGAGGGCACATTCAAAGACTTTGAGACAGAATAGTACTGAGTGAGGACTAGCATGTGACCTAAAACAGGGGTCCCCAACCTCCGGGCTGCAGATCAGTACCTCCTGTTAGATCAGCTGCAGCATTAGATTTTAAATAAAGTACACAACAAATACAATGTGCTTGAACCATCTTGAGACCATCTCTCCTTTTCCTGGTCCATGGAAAAATTGTCTCTCGTGAAACCAGTCTCTGGTACCAAAAAACGTTGGGGACTGCTGACCTAGAGTGAAGGGATTCCCAGGTGGCACTAGCGGTAAGGAACCCACCTGCCAATGCAAGAGATGAGGGTTCAGTCCCTGGGTTGGGAAGAGCCCATGTAGGAGAGCGTGGCAACCCACTCCAATATTCTTGCCTGGAGAATCCCATGGACAGAGGAGCCTGGTAGGCTATAGTCCATAGGGTCACACAGAGTCATACATGACTGAAGTGACTTAGCACCCAGCATGCAAGCTTGACCTAGAGTGACTGGAGTGTGTGGCAGGCAAGGAGTATGGCAGCAAACTTAGAGGGAAGCAGACAGGCCTGAGAGTCCTGACCCACAGAGGGACTCAGGCTATGTTCTCCTCCCCCTTTCAGTTCTATCCCCGCAGTGGACCCCTAAGGGGCAGCACAAGGCTGACCCTATGTGGCTCCAACTTTTACCTGTACCCTGCTGGTCTGGTGCCTGAAGGCACCCATCAGGTCACTGTGGGTCGAAGCCCCTGCCGACTGTTACCGAAAGGCAACTCAGACCTCAGGTATGACCTGGTCCCTGCTGTTTCTGTCCCTGATGTGGGTAACTAAGCAGCCCCTTTACTGTGAGATCCTGTCCTCTGCTTGTGTGGGGCAAGCTGCTGTAGTTCTGCTTGTTTTGTGTTTGGGGTGACATCTCTATCCCTTTCTGAGCCTGCATGTGCCTTACCTGTCTGTTGAGTTATGGCCAAACTAGTCCCTGCACCGACAGTTCCTGTTGACCCAGGATTAAGGCATGGGTAGATAGAGGCTATCTTTAAGCTCAGAGGAGACCTGTGATTTGTGGTGGGCAGGCCACTAGGCCTGTGTGACCCATCCCCCTGGCCGACCTTGAGTTCCCCTGATGTCCCAGCCGACTGTCCCGGAACGACTTCATAGAGGATTTTGAGTGTGAGCTGGAGCCCTTGAGCACACAGGTAGCCGGGCCTGCCAACGTCAGCCTCAATGTGACCAACATGCCACTGGGCAGGCACTTCCGGATAGATGGCACTTCCTTGCTAGGAGGCTTCTCTTTCATGGTGAGGCCACCTTGCCTTGTCTGTGTCCTTGGGCAGGTGGGCAGTTCGGGCAGGGAAGGGTTTGGAAGGGAGGGCCTCCTATTCCAAGCTAAGCCACCTCCATGTCCTCTTAGGAGCCAGTGCTGACAGCAGTCCGACCCTTCTTCGGCCCTCGGGCAGGAGGTACCTGCCTCACCCTTGAAGGCCGAGGCCTGTCTATTGGCACTAGCCAGGCTGTGCTGGTCAATGGGACTGAGTGCCCGCTGAAACAGTAAGAGCTAGCGGGAAAGGGGATGGGAGGCGACAGGGTCGCACATAGGGGAACCCTCACCAGGGAGGGCTTGGATCCCCAACAGGGTAGGGGAGGAGGGCTCAGTCATTCAGTGGAGGGAACGGACCAGGAAGAAGTGTCTGTTGCTCCCTCCAGCCCAGAGGTGGTTTGAGGATGGTGAGAGAGTCCATTGACTGCAGCCAGCGCTGTAGGGACTCTGCTCCTCCCTGACTTCTTGGAGGCCTTACTGGGACCATCCTGTCTTCAAACAGACCATGGAGTTTGGGCAGATCAGGGGAGATGACCGACAGAGGAACTTGGAGGGGTCTGTCAGCCCCTGGAGGAGCCGGGCCTGGCCATCACTTGGAAGGTGCCCCTGAGCCCAATCCCCCTGTTCTGCAGGGTCAGCGAGGGGCAGCTTTTATGCACCACGCCCCCTGGGGCCGCTACTGCCAGCGTTCCCATTCGCCTGCAGGTAGGGGGCGCCGAGGTGCCTGGCTCTTGGAACTTCCGCTACCGGGAAGACCCTATCGTCCTGGGCATCAGCCCCAAATGTGGCTATAGGTAAGCGTCACCTCCTCGCCCACTTTGGTCTCTGAAGGATGAGGGGTCCAGCCTCAGAGAGTACCCCGAGGCCCACCACCCTGCTCTCCTCCACAGCGGCTCCCACGTCACCATCCGTGGTCAGCATCTGACTTCAGCATGGCACCTCACGCTGTCATTCCATGATGGGGTCAGGGCAGTGGAGAACAGGGTGAGCGGGTGCTGGCAGCTGCTGAGTGGGCACTTGCCAGGAGGGAGGAAGGCCACACCAGTCCCCTGAGTTCCAGCCCCAGCCCACGCTGGGTTCAGGGGGCCGGGTGGCCAAAGTAGGATACCTGGGCTTACTGCTCTCACCTGGGCCCTGCAGTGTGAGGGGCAGCTCCCGGAGCAACACAGGTGCCGCCTGCCCGAATACGTGGTTCGAGGTCGCCGAGGGTGGGTGACAGGGAACCTGAGTGTCCGTGGGGATGGAGCTCCTGGCTTCACACTGCCTGGCTTTCGCTTCCTGCCTCCACCCCACCCACCCAGCAAGGGCCTGGCCCCCCTGAAGCCTGAGGAGCATGCCATTAAGTTTGAGGTAAGTGTAGGGGATGAGGGGTAAGCACAGTGGAGGGGGTAGGGCTGCAGCCTTGCCAAAGGAGCGTGGGGTTGGGGGGGGCACTGGCCAGCCCCCGTGACTGTCTCTGCAGTACATCGGGCTGGGCACTGTGGCCGACTGTGTGGCTGTGAATGTGACTGTGAGTGGCAAGAGCTGCCAGCACGAGCTGCGGGGGGATGTGGTGGTCTGCCCCCTGCCCCCCTCCCTGCAACTTGGCAAAGATGGTGCTCCACTGCAGGTAGGCAGTTCTGTTGGCCCTCCTCAGGAGACACGGGTCAGGGGGCAGTCTACAGGCTGGGCCTGAGCCACCACCTAATGCCCCCCAGGTCTGCGTGGATGGTGGGTGCTCCACCCTGGGCAAAGTAGTACGGCCAGGTCTGGAAGGGGTCCCCCAGAGCACGCTCCTCGGGGTCCTCCTGGCTCTGCTCCTGCTTGTGGCTGTGCTGGCTGCCATACTGGTCCTCAGTTACCGCCGGAGGAAGCAGCTAGGTGAGCCCTACACTGCCATCCTCACCTAGCCCTCACCCCTAAACTATGATGTCTCCAAGCCCGTATATCCTCTCTCTGCCCAGGCCTTGGGGGTCTGCCCACACCTCCCGGGTCTGGGTCAGCCTCTGGGACCTTGGAGTGGCTGGCTACCAGCAGGCATTTGTCTACAGTTCTTTCTCGGAACCTGGAAGACTTGGCCTCCCTGGACCGGACCACTGGAGCCATGCCTCTGCCTCTGCTCCGCTCAGGCTCTGACTACAGAAATGGCCTTGGTGAGATGCTGGAGGTGCTGGAAGGTGGGACCATACTGTCTGCTCCACCAGCCCCTCATTACCTCTCTTCCTCCACAGCCTCTCCTATCACTGGCCAGGATTCCTCCACTCAGGTCCACAGAACATCCTCCTCAGACAGCAGGGATGGGTCCCGTGTCCCATTGCTGCGGAAAGGATCCATCCAGCTTGGGGACCTGGACTCTGTGCTCCTGGCTGAGGTCAAGGATGTACTGATTCCCCATGAAAGCGTGGTCACCCACACTGACCGAGTCATTGGTAAAGGTATGGGTGCCAGACCAGGTGGAATGGGGGCAGAGATGGAGTCCTGAGATGACATGGGCTCGAGGGACAGTTGGGCAGGACTCAGCCCCCATTTGCTCATCTGTGAAATAGGAACTCTGTCTTCAGTGGGTTCTGGTGCAGATTAAGTGGGTATGGGAGGGCTGCAGGCTTTGCCATCACGAGTTGGAGCTCTGAGGTCTGGTTGCCAGTGGGTGGGAGTGGTGCAAGCTCTGGGCCCTGGGGCCCCTCTCACCATCTCTCCCTCATCAGGCCATTTTGGAGTTGTCTACCATGGAGAATACACAGACGAGGCCCAGAATCGAATCCACTGTGCCATCAAGTCCCTGAGTCGTAAGTGGAACAGAGGCTGGGAGGATCCTCATCCCTGCTATGCTACCACTCAGCTCTGTGACCCTGAGCAGGAGACTTTTGTTTCCTCTGTTTCCCCATCTGACCCTTATCAAGGGGTTCCCTGCCCTGGGCCTGACTCCAGCCTCCCTGCAGGCATCACAGAGGTGCAGGAGGTGGAGGCCTTCCTGCGTGAGGGGCTGCTCATGCGCCGTCTGCACCACCCAAACGTGCTGGCTCTCATCGGCATTGTGCTGCCCCCGGAAGGGCTGCCCCGCGTGCTGCTGCCTTACATGCGCCATGGAGACCTGCTGCAGTTCATCCGCTCACCCCAGCGGGTCAGTCAGTGCTTAGCTGACCCTGGGTTCTGGGGGGTGGATAGGAGGGGGGGCTTGGGCAGCAGCTGGGCATGGAGCTGCTCTGCCCTCACCTACTGACCCATGTGTGTCCCCCACCCACCCCCAGAATCCCACAGTAAAGGACCTCATCAGCTTCGGGCTGCAGGTGGCCCACGGCATGGAGTACCTGGCCGAGCAGAAGTTTGTGCACCGGGATCTGGCTGCTCGGAACTGCATGTGAGCGGCCAGAGTGAAGCCAGGGGGCGGAGCACCAGGGCGTGCAGCTGAAGGCGCCCCCAGGGAAGGCCCGCGCTGCATTCCTTGCTCTACAGCTTTGGATATGTCCTTCCCTCTCTGGTCCTCCATTTTTCTGTCTGCCCAGTGCAGGCTTGGGTTGAGCGCTGTGGCTCAGAAACCCTGTGAGGGCCTGAGATAGATGGGTTCGGGGCCTGGTGGTGACCAGTCCTGAGTGCGGTCCTCCCCTCCCAGGCTGGATGAGTCATTCACGGTCAAGGTGGCTGACTTTGGTCTGGCCCGTGACGTCCTGGACAAGGAGTACTACAGTGTCCAGCAGCACCGCCACGCTCGCCTGCCTGTCAAGTGGATGGCGCTGGAGAGCCTGCAGACCTACAGATTCACCACCAAGTCCGACGTGGTGAGGCCCCACCTGCCCCAGAGTCCACCCAGCCTCAGACAACACTTGGCCTTGCCCATTCAACTCTGGATGTTGATGAACCCAGGGAACCCTGTGTTGGGCGGTGCCCGCAGCCCATTTGCCCATCTCTGGGCAGGTATCAGGGCAAGAGGTGGCTCTTCACAGGTAATCCAGGCCTTGCCAAGCCCCAGATCTGGGCAGGCTCAGGGGTGGTGGGTGGGGACAGAGCGAAGATGCTTGTGAGGTATAGAAGAACAGTTCCGATTTGGGGGTGGAGCCCCTCATTTCCAGCTAGCGGGCTCTGGGAGTGAGCAGACCTGGAGGGGTCCACCTGTCCCCAGATTTGAGCTGAAAGTTGAGTCCATTCACCTGTCCCCTCCCACAGTGGTCCTATGGTGTACTGTTATGGGAGCTGCTTACGCGGGGTGCCCCTCCATACCCTCACATCGACCCTTTCGACCTCACTCACTTCCTGGCCCAGGGTCGGCGCCTGCCCCAGCCTGAGTATTGCCCAGATTCTCTGTGAGTATATGGACATGGTGATGGGGAGGGAGCTGGGACCTAGAGACAAGAAGGGGAGGAGGGGGCTGGAGACAGAGTTCTCGCCTGGCTTTCTGACTCGTTCTCAGGTCGACCTAGAAAGGGACCCTCTCTGAGCCTCAGTTTCCTCATCTGTGGACTGGTTTCACCAGCATCGGGGCTTGGTGCTAGAAGGAGATCATGGTTGCCATGGTAACAGCATTCGTAACTCAGAGTCTGGGTTGAGGCCAGTGATTTCATTTCCCAGCACTCCTCTCCCCACAATCCCCACCAAGGGGGGCTGTTTTTCATCGCTTCCACTTCCTTAACCTCAAGGAAAGGTTCCATTAGCTCCCACACTAAGCCCCCTCCACATCTCCAGATCAGAAATTGTTTTTCATTGGCTATAGTTTCAGATTCCCTGTTCCCAGAGGCCTGGCAGCAGCTGTGTTTCATCAATGCCTGTTGGGTGGTTTAGCTTCATAAGCAGCACTCATGCCTTAGCCATGCTCATGTCTTTGAGGTTAGAACGGGAAGAACCAGGTCACAGGTAAAGGTGGCTAATGATTCCTGTCTCACTCAGCTTGTGTTCCAGAAGGGTATGAGTAACCCTTCCTCACAGCCCTGCCTGCCTTGCTTTTGCTTTTCATTATTTATTTCACCGATGCATCTGCTTCAAAGTCAGGGAAATTAACTTCTGCCTCCAGGTCAGGCTCCCTGAAAGAGACTCTGAGATGGAGATTTACATGCAGGTGGTTGATTCCTAGGTTGGGGGCAAGGGAAGCAGGACTAGGTAGGCAGAGAAGTAGAGCTGTGATGCAGATGTAAAAGAAGCTGCTGTCCATCCCCCAGGATCTCTGGAATTGGGATGGCCCTTCAGAGTTTTCTGAAATTGAGACCCAGAGGCCCGGGTCTTTGCACCAGACATACACAGCTTACAGCTGTCCAGGAGGAAGGTGTGTGACCCTGGAGGAGGCATTTCTTTTCTGTCTAGGGCAATTCCTAGAGGGGACCTCAGTCAAGAGCCATCAGCAACCACAGGGAGAATGAAGGGGGCCATGCCACCAGCCTCTAAATCAGGGGAAGTCCCTTGTCTCTGGGCTTCAGTTTCCTCATCTGCAGAGTTAGAGTGATCACGGTACCACCCACAGAGGTCTGAGAATTATATGAGATTATCATGTGTGGGGCACTTTTAGTATCATTTAGGGCAGGGATGACATTTCCAAGATAAAGGGGCATGTATTAGGACCCACCAGACAAACACAAACTGCTTGGGATCCGTGGTGCCAAAGAAAGTGAAAGAAAAGTGAAAGTGTTAGTTGCTCAGTCGTGTCCGACTCTTTGCAACCCTGTGGACTGTAGCCCACCAGGCTCCTCTGTCCATAAAATTCTCCATACAAGAATACTGGAGTAGGTTGCCATTCCCTTCTCCAGGGTATCTTCCTGACCTGACTCAGGGATCGAACCCAGGTCTCCTGCATTGCGGACAGAATCTTTACAACCTGAGCCACCAGGAAAGCCCATATGATGCCAACCAGTTGCCAGACAATCTCAGGGCTTTGAATCCCCATTTCCTCAGACCTGGGCTTCCTTCCTGGAAGACCTGTGATGATAACTGTGATAGCTTGTGAGCTGGGCCCTAAGCTCTGAACCTCATAGGAGTCTTCTCACTTTATGCCCCAACAACTCTGTGATCAGAGAAGGATCCAGAGGCACAGAAATGTTAAGGAACTTGTTAAGATCACAGAGCCCAGGTCACAGGACACAGGAGCCCAGCCTCTCAACCCCTGAGGCAATTCGACTTCTGCCAGGGTGGGAAGGCAAGCAGTTAGAGCTTCCCTGTAATTGGGTGAGGCAAGGCATCAGCCATGTCACCCGCTCTCGTCCGCTGTGGCCTGCCAGGGGGCTAACCGCAGGTGGATAGCTCAGAAGCTCTGGGTGGGGGTGCACCATGCCCCTAATGTTTTCCTCTCCCCGGTAGGTACACTGTGATGCAGCACTGCTGGGCGGCGGACCCCACGGCGCGACCCACCTTTGGAGAGCTAGCAGGGGAAGTGGCACTCGTGGTGGCTGCGCTGCGAGGGGACCACTATGTGCAGCTGCCCGTGGCCTACGTGAACGTGGGCCCTGGTGCCCCTGACAAGGCAGTCATGCCCTCGGAACAGTCACCATCCCCAACAGTGCACAGAAGCCCAGGGCGGCCCCGGCCCCTCTCAGAGCCACCGAGGCCCACGTGACCTCAGCCCCAGGAGGGCCTTGGGGCTTGGACCTGCATAGCGCTGGCAGTTACCCCAAGCTGCTTCTGGGCTGGTCTCTGCCATGTCCTGGTCCCTTCACCTTCAGGGGAACAGGAGGACTGCAAGGCATATTGGTCTCTTGCTTCTCAGGGGGAGCCAGTGCAGGGATCCTTGATGCAGTATTTATGAGGTGTCTGCTGCGTGCCTGGCTGCTGGGCACAGGGGACTCAGTGGTGACCACTGGCCCTTAAATCAGTAAATGAACAAATGAATATTTAAGTACACTTTGTGGTAAATGCTATGAAAGGAAAAGACAGGCTGCTCTGAGGGAATGGAGGACAGGCCTAGATAGATGAAGAGGGAGATAAGGGAGGCCACCCCAGGAGGTGACATTTTTGCTGGGATGTTGTCAGATGGGAACTGCGCCGCCAGAAGCACCAGAAGCGGTTGGGGGAAGAGAGTTTTGGCAAAGTGAACAGCCCATGCAAAGGCCCTGAGGCTGGAAAGGGGTTGGGTCGGCAAAAAGGCTCCAGAGAACAGGAAGGACAGGCCAGGCCCACATCCAGATTACAGGGCCCTGGGGACTTTCAGATGGAACCAAGAGGGTGGGTTGAAAACCCAGACATGCAGCAGCCACGATGGCTTCTGCTGTTGCCCCTTCTGCCTGTCCCATTGCCCAGGCCCTAGCCCCACTCCAGGGCTCCCTGCTCCACCCGCACCCTTCCCCTAACTGCCTGCCCCCACCCACTGTTAAAGCATGGAGACTTGTCCCCCTCTCCCCCAATCATGACAGCATTGCTCTTGCAGCCTTGAGAGAGATGAGCCTGCAGCAAGCCCTCAGCTCCACACTTTTAAGGCACCAGCTTCGAGGTGCAGACGGCTCAGGCTATTTATACTCATCAAGGCCACAGTGCAATAGCCACTAGAGGGGCAACTCCACCAGAGAAGGACAGCATCTTCCTCCTTGGGCTGCTGCTCCCCCATGCCCTTAAGGCTGAGGGGGCCACTGGGCCCTGTTTGGAGTGGACACCTGGGTGACCAGGGTGACTGTGCCCCGGACCTGGGCCGTGGTGGGTCCTCTCTCTTACTCAGGCTTCCCATGGCCTCTCTCTCATCAGTTGGGGGACCCTGACTCACCCTAAGGGAAGTAGGCTCCCACCCCTTTGAGTCGCCAGCTCTCTGGCCTGTCATGCATGGAACCCTGGGTTTGGGGCAGGGTAAGCAGAGTAGGGGTCTCCTTGGGACTGGAGCTGCCTAGCTGTTTTTTACCCATCTGTTGCCCACTCTGTCACCTCAGGTCAGAGGGAGGCCCAGATATGGGAGCCTGAAGGACTCTGAGGACAGGTAGGTAAAGCTTAAATGAAGACTCAAGCTCTAGGGCAAGGGTCTGAAGATCAGGGCTCTAGAAGCTAGAAAGGGGTAGAGACAGACTCCGTCTGCCTTTTTACCACCTCATCCCTGATGCCCAAGAGTGCAGGCACAGAAGAGGAGGCTGTAGCATTGCACACTCTGCCAGGGACCTCTGGGCTCCTCCTTGCCTTGTGTCATCCCTCAGGCTGGGAGAGAAGTGAGTGGAATGGTCCTGGAACCCTCCCACAGCTGTGGTCCCCGTTCCAGTTAGAACGGACTGTCTCCAGGACTACCTGGTAGTCCTTGTGCCCTAATCTCAACCTAGGGATCTAAGGGTGACCCCAGGCTTGGAGCTGGGTGGGGAGTGAGGACAAGGCTCAGAGGCTTCACTGAAGTTAGACTGAGGCTCCTTCCCCACTGGGCCTCTGCAGCTTAGGGACCATGAGCTTATCATGAGCCCAGATAAGAAAGGGATAAGAAAGAAACTCAGGGAACTTCCCTGGTGCTTCAGTGGCTAAGACTCCATGCTCCCAGTGCAAGGGGCCCAGGTTCAATCCCTGGTCAGGGATTATATCTCACATACCACAACTAAGAGTTCACATATCTCAACTGAAGATCCTGCATGCTGCAACTAAAGAGTCCACGTGTTGCAACTAAGACCTGGTGCAGCCAAATATATATATATTTATTTATATATATATAAGAGAGAGACTCAGAGAGGAAGGGGATTCTCTGGATAGGAGGGAACGTTATCGAGGAGAGAAGGGAGACGGAAGACGCTCAGCAGGTGTCAGTTTCCTGTGTAGCCAGAATGTGGGGCTTCGGGCCTGTTTCTGGGCCAAGGGCCTCCAGGGCCAGGATTCTCCAGGGAGGGGACACACTTAAGCAGGTGCTTGACACAACTGCACCGCCTCTCCGTAACACTGAAGCCCCCAAGCTCTGAACTCTGTTCTCAGAGCCATTTGATAGTCCTAAGATCATCTGGAGTAATTGAAGATGGAAGTGCTTCAGGGTTTCCAGGTCCTGCCTGGGCCACCAGGGAAGAAAGGAGGGGTTAGTTCTAGCTGCCCACCATGGGCTGAGAAGAAAAGGAGCTTTGAGTGGCTTCCAGGGCTCATGAAGCCTGGGTTGCCTTTCCCTTATTTATTTGTTTGTTTTTTTTCCTTCTCCCTTGGGGGAGGCCTGAGTAGTGGCCGGAGCAAGACGGAAATTGCTGGTGGCCCTGGTGGGCCCAGGCCTGTCGCGGGGGTTGGATGGGACGAGCTCAGGTTTCTCCCACGGCTCTGGGAGTCCAGTCTTCCCATCATGAGCTGTGGGGAGTGGGTGTCAGCCTGTCTACCTCATCTCCCTCCATTGCAGCCCAGTGGGGCTGGGGGCCGGCAGGTGCCAATAGAGGCTGGAGGGAGGCCAGGCTGGGAGCTGGGGCTGAGGAAGCGGCAGATGACTCACACCCTCCTGATTGCCCATTGGTGTCAGTGTCGTCTGGCACCTGGAGGGCAGACATGGGGTAGACCGACCTGCTTTGATGGGGACCAGGAGTCTGGTCTGGGATTCCCCTTATGCCAAAGCCCCAGTCTTTCAGAGAATTTCCACAGGGATCCAAAGGCTCTCTAGGGGTCGCCCCTGAGGGCTCCAGACACAACCCCATTTCAAACCCTGAGACCTTTCTGGGACAATGACCTTCACTGGTCATTCCTTGGTGCAGCCCATGAGGCCCTGGGTCCACCTCTGGCACCACTGCATGAACTAACTCCCTGCAGCTGTAGGAGACCCGCCCCTCCCCCAGGGCTGGGTGGGGCTGGGGGGCTGTGGGTGCTGCTGGGAGGGTCTGAGGCTCAGGAAGGCCCAGCATGCATCTTTCACACCTAGTGCCTCTGCCTGGAGAGACGCAGCCCTCAGAATCGATAACCGAGCTCTGGTCTAGCATCTGCCAGCCCCTGGTGAAAAACACCTATTACTCCACGCTGGGTTGGAGAACTCTCCTCCATGAAGACCCAGGAACCGAGCATCTCTTCATCCACAGCCTCTGCTCTGCCCGTGTGAGAGTCCAGTCAGCTCAAAGGTGGAGCTACTCCAGGCTGAGGAGGGGGGATGACTTGAGGAACCACCCCCAGCGTTCCCCATCCATCGCTGTGGGCCAGCTGAGCCTCAGTCTCTCCCTCCATTCTTTTGGGGGTTCATTCCGGTCAGAGTTTTTAGTCCGATGAGCCTAGATGCCAAGAGAGCCTAGCACCAGCTCCTGTCCCTCTGTGGCTACCCGTTTGCCCACAACTTCTGCTCCACCCATCCAGGAGCTGGGACCTTGGAAGAGGTATTAATGGTCCTGACAGCCAGCCTGTGCCATGCAGGCAGCGGGAGGGCCCTCAGGTTTGGCCCTCATCAGTCTCATTGTTGCTCTGTGGGAGGTTGAGCTCGTGGGGCCCGGCCTGTGACAGTTGCTATTCTGAGCTCAGATGGTGGGAGAGGAGGGACATTGCTGAATCCCTGGGGCTCCGCATGGGCAGATGCAGATGGAGCATGAGATCCAGGGGCATCTTTGCCTTCTCTCTCATTCATTCCCCTTCATATTGGTTTAGCCACTCGCAAGCTTGTGATCTTAGACTGGGCAGTTGGGATCTGGGAATGAATCAGGGAAGACAGGGGACTCAAAAGCAGCTGGTGCCCAAGATCACAGGATTCTATTAGCTCTGAAGCCAGATCTCCCTTTCTCATGCCACTAGTCCCCCCACCTTGCCCCCCGATTCTGGTGCAACCAGGACCATGGAGACCTAGAGGCCCCCAGAGGCACACAGCCCACGTGTCTGGGCTGTGCTCCTGCCTGGAGTGCCCTCCCTCCACAGATCTAAGTGCTACCTATGTGCAGCCTCTGGGACACAGGGCTAGCATCTGAGGCCCTGGACAGTAGGCAGGGATGAGCTGCTGGGGAACCAGGCATTGCTTTTTACTCCATTAGCAAGTGGTTGTCCTTTAAGACTTTTTTTTTTAACATATTTTATTTATTTGGCTGCACCAGGTCTTAGTTTTGATACAGGGGCTCTTTAGTTGCAGCATGTGGGATCTAGTTCCCTGACCAGGGATCGAACTCAGGCCCTTTGCATCAGGGAGCGCGGAGTTTTAGTCCCTAGACCACCAGGAGAGTGCCCCGAAGGCTCCTCTGTAGTCCCCCTGGGCTACACGGTAGTGACAGCTTCAGCCAGCCATCGGCCCTGCTGATATATCTCTCTGAGCTGGGGAGCCCCCTCTTCAAAGGGGGAAAGGAATTCTTTGGGTTGCCCCATCACTCTGTCCCCATGGGCTCCTGCCCCGCTCTCTTTGACGCAGCCTTCTGTTCTTAAAGTCTCCCCCACCCTCCACAGGGACCTTGTGGGAAGGCAGCCCTCCTCACATCCCCTTTGCAGGTGTGGTGGGAGGTCTCTTTTCGCTAGTCTTGAGGCCCTGCTTCTGGCAGCAAGGACTCCCTCTTCCTCCCTCCCGACTCCTGGATGGATGGGGGTGCTGCTCCCAGGGAAGCAGTGGAGGGAGCTGACTGCAGCCCCTCAGCCAGCTGTGGACAGCAGTCAGGGTGGCTGTGCTGTTGGTCTCCCTTGTGGCTGTTGCGGCTGGCCATCTTTCACGCAGAGTTACGTAAGCTTGAGTCAATTGGAGCTCAG